AGTTATCTTATTTGCTATTTATATTTGCTTAGTGATTCTAATTTGTACCCTCCTGTATGCATAGATATAATATACTACTATAATCGTGGTTTTTTTAGGGCAAATTACATAGAAGACATCTTAAGGTCTGTGTATAATTACAACTAGGTTCTCAAATTTTTAAAAATAATTACATAGTCCTTTTATCTTTTTACTTCTGTAAAAGTTCTGAAAACAAAATCTAAAATAGGTTTTTGCTCACATTCTGTGTTCTTCTTTACTTCTATTGCTGCTTTACCACATAAGTTAAAACCATGAATTTTTTTGTTTAAGTATAATCACTGATTATGTTGGTCTTTGTTATTAGACAATTTAACATTAAGAAACTAAACTTAATTGATAGATATATTTTTTCAATAAAAGGACTAAATTATTATCTGTTAAAAATTAGGTATCTAATTATAATTATACCCAAACCTTAAAGATCTCCATGTAATTTACCTTTTCTTTTATTATTTTAGTGTTGTTCGCTCGAAAACTAAAATTAAATTTAACATTGAACTAATTTAGTTGTTATGGTTTTGTTGAGAGGAGGGTTTGCTCTCATCAAGAGAGAACCCTTTGATCTCTCAGACATGGCTCATTAAGAGAAAATTTTAGGAAAGAAACTCAAACTTCTTTTTGGGTAAATTTGCTTAGCTTTATTTTAGTCCAGTATCTACATTTATACAATAAGAAATATTACTGCTCGTACTGATTAAGCTCAGATTATACATAATTAGCCACTCTCTTCCTGTCCTTCCACAAACCTCCAGCTCCTGAGCTCCATCCTCCTTGGATGCCTGAAAGTGAAATAAAAATGGAAATATATGAAAGGAGAAGGGAGAACAAGGATTCCTTTAGTACATCAAAATTTTTTTAGTTTTTTTTTTCTATATGTTCATGTATAAAAATATGTGGTAGATGAAAATGAAAACAATATTTGAAAAATATGGTATGGGTTTGAAAAGAATTAAAAACTATTTTTATCTAGACTTATGTACAACAAATAGACATACCAAACATGTATGTTATAAACATATATGAATCTAGGAAATTCAAACTAGAAAAATATTATATACCAAAAAAAGTTCAAATTTTTATTATAATGTACCATTATTATAATAGTTCCTAGCTTCAAGCCCAGACTTGTGGATGGATACATTCACTCAATTGTTTGATTTTAAAAAAAACTGAACCTCCTATGAATATTTTCACTTTGAAAAGTGGAACTTATTCTTTTTCTATGCATGCAAGGGTATTTGAAGTTTAGTGTTATTGCATGCCTACAAAGTTTGCTTGCTTTTTAAGAAGATAGATTGCCAAGCATTTAGATCTCTATTTTTTCTAGTTCCATGAATTGTTTTTGATGAAAAAATTATTTGTACAGCAGTAGGAGGCTGTCTGACCATGCATGTATGTTCTGATTAATTTTCTTGCAGGCCATTGAGCAATCTCCTCCGGCAAAGCGAAATTTTGTTTCTGATAACTGCTCTTCAGAAAATGAAGGGAGCTTTTTGGATGGATTTTCCGATGTAGATAGCTTCTCAGATGACGAGGTAGTTAAATATTTATGGAATACTTTTCCATGTATTATAAGTCTATGGATTGTTGTACATTGGTTAACTTTTTTGTTGTACAGATGAATATGACAACGCAGGTTATCTTGAGTTTATTGTATGTTGTGTTTGGTTTACTTCATAGCTGTGGTACCTGGTGCAGGCTTATTATGCCTTTATGACGATGAACAAAGAGAATTAAAATTTAACTGTGGATGCTTATAATTTGGCAATTTTATTCTCTTTTCAGGATCCAAATTATGCACCTGATGCGGATAATAGATTAATAGGCTTAGTGAAAATGGGGTACACCATGGATGAGGCTGAAATAGCCATAGAAAGATGTGGTTTGTGTTCTTCTATCTTCTTGATGATTTTATGATATTTTCTCATATTTCTACATTACACTTGACAGAATTGATTCCAAAAATGCTGCCACAAATAAACACATATGAAACACCTGGACGCGTAGACCCAAAAATTAGGAGTAACTAATTCTGAACTCCATACTCCTTTTTCCCTCTTGGTGCACCTTGGCAAATGGAATGATTTTCAGAAGTTTTAGGATCCCCAACACCTTCTCATTCTTCAATATTTTTGTGTTAGTTATCCTTCCTTCTGGTAGGAGGTAGCAGAGTGGCCTATATATTGTTGCAGTGATAACATCAATGTACAGAGTGGTGGCATTTTCATTCTATATTCAGTTCATAGAAACCTAATATGATTCTTTTTTGTGCAATTTAGATGCAGTCACCTGTTTCTATTTTCATAGTCACACCTTTCCATTTGCATATTGCAGGTCCGGATTCTACAATTGCTGACCTGACAGACTTTATATGTGCTGCTCAAATGTCAAAGGCAGCTGATGCTCTAATCGCTGAAGATAAGGTGATCTTTTGGCCATTTTTTCAGAACTCAACAAACTTAGCAAACAGTCTTGTGGAATAGTTTGTTTCCTTGTTTTCTCCACTTCTATCTTGTTCCATATCTTGGTAGAGGTGAGTTTTAGCTTGCTTCCATTTGTTCATGATGCAGCCAAAGCCTAAGCAGTTCTACAATGAATATGCTAAACACAAGAAGAGAAAAACTACTCCAAAAGAGCCTTTAAATGGAGATGACGAGCCAATTCGCCTCCCAAATCCAATGATAGGTTTTGGAGTTCCTACTGAACCAGGTCTTGTAATACATAGAACATTGCCAGAAGCAGCTGTTGGACCTCCTTACTTCTATTATGAGAATGTGGCACTTACTCCTAAAGGAGTTTGGGACACTATTTCGCGGTTCTTATATGATGTGGAACCAGAGTTTGTTGATTCGAAATACTTTTGTGCTGCCGCAAGGAAGCGGGGATACGTTCATAATCTACCAATACATAACAGATATCCTCTTGTTCCGCTTCCCCCAAACACCATACATGAAGCTCTTCCCTTGACGAAGAGGTGGTGGCCTTCATGGGATCCAAGAACAAAACTCAACTGCTTACAGACATGTATTGCCAGCGCAAAACTGACAGAGAGGATCCGCAAGGCTCTGGAAGACCATGATGGTGAACCACCATTGAGTGTACAAAAATTTGTCATTGATCAATGCAAGAAGTGGAATCTGGTTTGGGTTGGAAGAAACAAGGTTGCTCCACTTGAGCCTGATGAAATAGAAATGCTCTTGGGCTTCCCAAAGAATCACACCAGGGGTGGCGGAATTAGCAGGACTGATAGATACAAGTCACTTGGTAACTCATTCCAGGTAAATTATTCTGAATGTGCTCGTGAATTTATTTGCTTATTTTAACCATCCTTTATTTCTCCTGAAATATTACTGGTTCTGTATGTTGCAACTTTAAAGAATTAATATATTTCAGGTTGACACCGTAGCTTACCATCTTTCAGTTCTGAAAGAAATGTTCCCGGAAGGGATCAACATGCTCTCCCTCTTTTCTGGCATTGGTGGTGCAGAAGTGGCCCTCCATCGCCTTGGTATCCGACTGAAGAATGTGGTCTCAGTTGAAATTTCAGAAGTCAATAGAGGGATCGTAAGGTGCTGGTGGGAACAAACAAACCAGAAAGGGAACTTGATTGACCTTACGGATGTCCAAGAATTGAATGGCGAGCAGCTGGAGCAGTTCATGAGCTCGTTTGGAGGATTTGATCTAGTCGTTGGGGGAAGTCCTTGTAATAATTTGGCCGGTAGCAATAGGCATACGAGAGATGGACTCGAGGGTGAACACTCATCCCTCTTTTATGATTATTTTCGTATTCTTGACTTGGTGAAACGTATATCGGCAAGGCATCAATAATTTTGCGTATAGGAGTTTATATCAACAACTTAGAGTAGTTCATTTTTAGCAACTCCGTTCAATTTTTCCGGAGAGTTGTTACTTCATTCATTTATTTTGGTCACCCTCCTTTATCAAGTTAATTTATTCTATTTTATATTCTACCTGTTAGAGTTGTTAGATCATGTTTTCCTTACGGTCATAATTGAAGTTACAATTGAAAGCCTTGACTTCAAAAACAGTGTGACTTTAGGACATGAATTTTCTTCTTTCTTTTCTTTAAATACATTATAGTTATAGTTATGCTGCAGCAAATGAATTTTCTTTTGTGTTATTCATGTGGGAGAGTACACTTATTTACTTATGAAATAGCAGAAGAAGCATTTTGTGATGGGTAGATTTTTTTGAAGTTAAGACAGGAATCAAATAGCCCATGGATTCTTTTAACTAGAGTAGTTAGAATATGTTGTCTTCTCGGTTATAATTCCTCTACTTGGCTCGGTTGGATATAATTTAGTCGAGAGAGCTTCGCTCTTGCAATTGGGTCATTGCAATTACGGGTTAGATGTCTAATTATATAGATGATAATGATAATGTCTTGTATCTGAACTGGTGACTCATTTTTCCAAGTAATGGAAAGAGGATCGAAATATGTCACTAAACGACTATTAAAACAAAGATGGACTGTTAAGAACGTAGATGAAGTAGGATTGTTAGTTAGTCGGATCTAGTGAATTGTACATGAATTATATATAAACGATAGTTGGACGATGAAACAGTATAAATTCATGAATTAAGATTGATTTATTCAAAATAATTATAATTTTTTAAAAAATAAATTTTACAAATTAATATTTCTTATTTTAAACATAATTTCAGTTTAATTATTTGTAATGAATTTCATGAATATTTTTTTTTCCGACCACGAGTATTTATTAATTTGATAAATTCATTCCTCTAAAAAAACTTAAAAATATATTGTTTTAATTTTATTACAATTTTTAAAATAATAGTTTCTATTATTAAAAAATAATTTTATTAGAATTTTTTAGGACATTATTTTCTATTTTTTTTTTTAAAAGTAATTGTGTTTTAAAATAAATCGTAGAAATACAAATTGGCAACTATAGTCAAAATGGAAACAGTAACTGCGTACATACTACGGTTAAGCGTCTAAATCACCGCCCTCACCTAACTTTATACGTGTGGTTCCTATAAGTATCCGGGCTCCCTCGTTCCATCTCCCTCTTCGATTTCTCTCTCTCTCTGTACGCTTCTTCTTTCTCTTCGAGCGTATTCCTCTCTCTCGGAGTAAGGGTTATTAAAGCAATAATTAGAAACATCGAGAGAACGCAGAGAGAGAGAGAGGAGATTTCATTCCTTACAAGCGTTTTTCGCATCACGTTTATCTTTCACGTAAAACGGCTCCGTCAGGTAGATCGTTTTTAGCAATTCATTTTTTTCCTCAGATCTGAATCTCTTTTTCTAGGTTCTGTGGGATGATCGGCCTTTTTTCTGGAACTAAGTGTGTTTCTGCTTTCTATTTATGTATGTTGCAAAAATATCTCTTTAATTGTGACTGGTTGGTGTGTGAGAAAGTGTAAATGGAGCAGAAAATGTGTTGCGTAGTGGATTTTCTGTTGTAAGAGGAGAACAAAAGGTTTGCTGCGATTTCCTTTTTTTTTTTAAATAAATTTTTAGGGCTTGTCTGGGGAGATTTTGTCAATTTTGACAAAAATTAGGATGCGGATAAAGCCGGGGTTTGGGTCTGTAATATTGTTGGAAGCCTGACGGAATAGGTTAGGGTTGTTTTTCGTTCTATGCTCTTTTTTTCTACGATGGAGTGCGAATGTCTTTTCTGAGAGTAGATTCTTTTTTCTTTTTTTTATGGAGCGGATAATGGACTAGCATTGGTAACTTACTGGTCGAATTTGAGTGTGATAAATAAGTTTATTGAATGTAATTAAATGTTGATTCTAGTTTTTAGTATCCTTTATTTAATAAATTGTTATTAGGATGCTCAGAATTTATCTTTTCTGATATATAATTTGTCGTTTAATATATAAGTTTCTATGCCGGAGTAGATTCTTTTTTTTCTTTTTTTTTTTTAATGGAGCGGGTAATTGATTCGTATTTGTTAACTTACTGGTCGGATTTGAGTTGATCCTAGTTTTTATTATCCTTTATTTAATAAATAGCTATTAGGATGATCTGAATTTGTCTTTTCTTGAGTACAAATGTCCTTTCCAGAGTAGATTCTTTTTTTCTTTTCTTATGGAGCGGGTAATGGATTCGTGTTTGTTAATATGCTGGTTGGATTTGAGTCTGATATATAAGTTTGTTGAATGTAATTAAATGTTGTTTAATAAATAATTATAGGATGCTCTCTGAATTTGTTGGTGCATTGATGCCATAGATAATCAAACCATAGATGAATTGAAAGATCTTTTTGGCTGAAAATTGCTCTAGGAAGAAATGTTTTCTAGTCTTCAAGAGTAAAAAAGAGGGTGACTCCTAGGGTATTGTAAAATATATATTCATTAGAGTTATGTAGTTATGTACTTTCCTGTTCTAGTTTCAAAATGGTGGTCTTCTTAAGTATTACTATGCATTTGATTTCTTTTATCGAAATTTTACTGATGATGTTGATTCTTGATTTTGCATGGTTGTGTCTTGAGCATGCCATGGCTGTATCAGGAATTGTGGTGATAACTATGTGTTGCATCTTACAATATCTTCACTGTTAATTGCAGAGGACTATTGTTAGTTTCCATTTTTGCTCCAGTAAAAGAATTTTGTGGTTGCAAGATTAGTTTTACTGGTCCCTTTTAATGGCTGCCACTGCAACTGTCCCTTCTAGTGGTCCCCGATATGCACCTGAGGATCCCACTCTCCCCAAGCCATGGAGAGGTCTGGTTGATGGTAGAACTGGATACCTTTACTTCTGGAATCCAGAGACCAACGTCACTCAGTATGAAAGGCCTCAAAGCTCAGCTCCTCCTCCCAAGTCTTCTTTTGCACCTATTAGTTCTTCACTGCAAGTTCAACAACCTTCGCATGGACAGCCCGGCAGGGAGGATGATAGGTATGGAAGAGGCAGCAATGGTGGATCCAAGATGGAAGGAGGGTTGAGGTTAAATCAGGTATTTGATTTTATCTGCTATTTTGCATTCTGAATTGTCATTTTTGATGTTTGTTTGTGGTTTGAAGTGTCCAACCCTTTTATTCTACTTAATTTGGTGTAGAAAGTTCTTCAGTTCGTATCAGGTCTGCCTCTGTTTTATTCTAGTTTTTATTTGAATATCTGGGATTCGGTTGCAAGACGTTTGGTGTCGTTAGGTTAAAGCTAGCTGTTTGAGATCTAATATTCTTGTCTTGTGTTCAGTTGGCTAGCATTTTACCAATCATCAAATAAACTGCGAATTTCCCAAAAATACCAGCTTGACCTTATTTGTTCTAGATATGTTGGTGCAATGGTTGAGTTCTCGAATTGTGTGTGTGTGTGTGTATGCTTTGTGTCTGATCTGCTGTGGAGCTAATATTGTGAATGTATTTCTTAAACAGAGGGTTGGATCATTTCATTCTCATGATATCCCGAATGGTTTAGCAAATGTTGCACATGGAGGATCCTCTGCTAGAGGAAATGGTCCATCAACTGCAGGGACTGGTTTGTCCACAGAGGCTTATCGTTCTCGGCATGAAATAACTATTACTGTGAGTATAAAGGCTATGAATGCATTGCTTTAGCGTGTATTGTTTTTTGTGCTTAGTAATGTTGTATATGTATGGGTAATTCTGATGCTAATTTCCCTTTTTTTGTTTCCACATCCTTGCTTGATGTTAGTTATGGTTCATGTGGGTAGATAATTTGGATGCTAATTTTATTTGTGTATATAGGAACGTAATGCTAATTTTGCTTCTTCATTTTTTGACTGACTGAAAACTGTAAAATAAGATTTTCCCAATAGTATTGGAATTTTCATCTATAAGTCACTTGCTTTTAGATATTTTTTAATTTCAATGTGGTCATCTCTATGTTTAGCAGACTATATGGGTGGTTATACCTGCACTTATTTTCTGAATCTTGCTAATATATGTACTCCTCTGCCTTTTCTTTCTTGTTTGCTGTTGACCATTTCTTTGCTCCTGAACTCTATCAGGGAGATCAGGTGCCTCCGCCTTTCATGTCTTTTGAAGCTACTGGTTTTCCACCTGAGATTCTTAGAGAGGTATGGATATCTTTGCTGTCATCTTTTTTCACCCTACCCTTCCCCTCCATGTAGTACTGTTGTTTGGTATTTCTTAGATGATCTGAACTATGTATTACTAGTGTTCTTTTGTGCAAGGTTATATGATTACTGGACCTCCAATCTTGAGTTTTCAGACTCATTTTATTTTTTGCCAACTGCACTTTTTTTTGGTCGCAGGTGCGATATTTGCTCCTGGGAGGAGCTAATGTCGTACGCTGTGCTGCCCTCTGTATGGGGCCTTGCAAATAATTTGGAGCGCCCTTATACGGTGGACCAATTTTTGAAAGGGCTTTACGAATCACCCAAGTTCGTGGCCGGGCCTGCCAATGGTGATTTTCAACCTGCTACTCGGTCCGAACACAAGAAGAGGCTTCCTCCCACTCCAGCTTGCATCTGCAAGCATTGGCCGTCTGCAAATGGGGGATGATGCTTCTTCTGGGCTAAGCCATTCTATAAAGGCCCTCCAAAAAAATCAATCAGAAATCTTCAAGCCGGTACCTTATTCACAGGGGCTGCTGGATTTTTGCTTTTCCAGGTACATGGTGCCGGATTCTCTGCCCCAACTCCAATTCAAGCACAGTCATGGCCAATCGCATTGCAAAGTAGAGATATAGTGGCCATTGCTAAAACAGGGTCTGGGAAAACTTTGGGTTACTTGATTCCAGGCTTCATACATCTCAAACGGTGCCGCAATAATCCTCAATTGGGTCCCACTGTTTTGGTATTGTCACCAACAAGGGAGTTGGCAACGCAAATACTGGATGAGGCCGTAAAGTTCGGGAAGTCATCAAGAATATCTTGTGCGGTATGTTAATTTCGAAAAGAAAAATCTTGTGCGCTATGTCATGTTCATGTATATATGTTGAGAACTGGTTAGTACCTGTTGGTGTTTTTCCATTCCGTTCTTACTAGTTTCCTTGGATTTCTTTACTGATTTATGTCCATGAATGGCCCAGAAAAATATCTGTTTACTTTGGAGATGAATGTGATCTGAGTATATTTGTATAATCTTGATTTGGTTAACAAGTGTATAATATTTTTTGGAAACTCTATTTCTTTGCAATAAGTCCGTGTTTGAGATTTCTCCATGTGATTTAAAGTCATGTTCACTGTCTACTTCTAATCAATGAATTTGTTTCAAGAAGATCCATCACTAACCTGTAATATTTCAAATGGAGATAGAACATTGTAGTTATTGTGGCTGCTAGTGAAAATAGGCAAAAGACATGGTTTGTTACTAACTAAGCTTATTGTATGTTTCTTTACTGAAGTGTTTGTATGGAGGTGCACCCAAGGGTCCTCAACTTAGAGATATAGAAAGGGGAATAGATATCGTGGTTGCAACTCCTGGCCGTTTGAATGACATTCTTGAGATGAGGAGAATCAGCCTAGACCAAGTTTCTTACCTCGTGCTAGATGAGGCTGATCGGATGTTAGATATGGGTTTTGAGCCTCAAATACGGAAGATTGTGAAGCAGGTGCCTGCTAAGCGACAAACGCTCATGTACACTGCTACATGGCCAAAGGAAGTTCGGAAAATAGCAGCAGATCTACTTGTTCATCCTGTTCAGGTTAATATTGGCAATGTTGATGAGCTCGTGGCGAACAAGTCTATCACACAGGTTTGGATATCGTTCTTCTAATCTTTTCGGGGCCTTGGTCAGTCTATTTAATCTCATTTATTATGGATTATTGGTGTCTTGTCTATGCGTCTTGGAGTCTTCAATGATTTATCTTTTGGAATGGTTTATATCTGAAGTATTTGATAATTCATCTTTTTTTGTGTTTCAGTGTGTTGAAGTTTTGGCACCTTTGGAAAAACATCGACGATTAGAGCAGATATTGCGTTCTCAGGAACCAGGTTCCAAGATAATTATTTTCTGTTCAACCAAGAAGATGTGTGATCAACTAGCCAGAAACCTTGTGCGTCATTTTGGAGCTGCTGCTATTCATGGAGACAAATCGCAGAGTGAGAGGGATCATGTGTTGAGTCAATTTCGCACTGGGAGGTCTCCAGTGCTTGTGGCAACTGATGTTGCTGCTCGTGGACTGGATATTAAAGACATCAGGTTGGAGAATGTTGCATTTATGCATCTCCTTTTCGTTTAGTTTAAAGCATGTTGGTTTGCGCACACATTCATTTTGTTGTTGAGTTAATTTAGGGACTCTCAATTAATTGACAAGCCTAGATTGCATATTGCAAGTTCGTAGCTGATATTGACATTTGGACTTTCAGAATTGGGATCTAGCCATTTTCATCGCATCTGTGCCTTTATTACTAAAAATTATTATCTCTTGCATCTTTGATTGTGAATTGCTCGAAATAGGACTAACCCAATCTGTAGGTTGGTTTTACTATTTTCTTTTCTATAATCAATTACCGAGTTAACTGTTGTCTTCTCCTAAAATGTGTTACAGGATGGTTATCAACTATGACTTTCCAACTGGAGTAGAAGATTATGTTCACAGGATCGGGAGAACTGGAAGGGCTGGTGCCACTGGACTGGCTTACACATTCTTCAGTGACCAGGATGCAAAGTATGCTTCGGATCTTATCAAAGTTTTGGAAGGGGCAAACCAAAGAGTTCCCCCAGAGATTCGCGAGATGGCCTCACGGAGTGGTGGGATGGGCAGGCCTCGTCGTTGGGGCCCAAGTAGTGGTGGCCGTGGTGGACGTAGTGATTTAGGATATGGTGGAAGGGATAGTGGTAGAGGTCGCTGGGGGCCTTATTCTTCGTCTTCTAGCCGGCAAGAAAGAGGTGGAGGCCGTGGCTACGACAGTGAGTCACGTGACAGGTATCTGGGCCACTTGTGTTTGAGCAGGAAGTTTACTTTTATACTCAGGGAAGAGAATTTGAACAAAAGTAACCGTCATATTGTTATTCATAATTCATCAAAGTTCATTACTAAATGCTCATGTTAAAATCGAACTACTATTCCTTTTGTGATGTCTTGTAACTGTTTACACTTATATGCTGGAAAGTAATATCGGGAATTCTGTTTTATGGATTAACAGGTATGAGCGTGGTTATAATAATGGGTATGATAGGGCTCGTAGTAGTCGGAGCCCTGACAGGGGATCAGGTCGAGGTGACCGTGCTAAGATCTCACGAGAGCGCAGCTTCAGCCCTGACAGGTATGACAAGGCTTCAGCAGCACGATCCCCAGCACGAAGTTTTCATGAGATGATGATGAAGCGTGGTCGATCACCTCAACGCCAGCGTATATGTGTGAATTCACGTAGTCCAAGTCGGGAAAGGTCACGATCACCTCATGGTGGTGCAAGGAGGGAAAAAGGATCATACAATCATGATAATTATAGGGAGTGGAAGAGATCACCTGATGGTGGCACTGCTGGCGGGAAAAATCCATCGAATTATGGTGAAGAGGAGGAAGGCCTGATTCCAGCAGATGGAAACAGTAGGAACCCTCCAGATGTAGATCGAGCTGCGGAGTAGGATCCCTGACAAATATACCGACCTTAAAGGCGCTTTCTCATGGCGGTTTTGGTAACAATCTGGCACTTTTTTGTCGTTTGTTGGTTAAAAAGTTTCTTGTTGGAACTGGAAGCAGCGATAACAGGAACTAATACAAGTGTGAAAAGAGATTATATATGCCCCCACAACACTCGGGGCTTGGACTTAATCCTTAATCTTGAGTAGTCTTTGATTTTGTCAAGCATTAGCCATCTCATATTCTTTTTGTTAGGAGGTTAACAAGCAGGCATAGCAACAGTAGATGTTATGTGAGCTATGCTATTTCTTCTAGTATTGGCGTGTATGTTCTGTGTAATATGATCTTTTAATCGGCATGAAAGATTCAAGTTCTTTACTTTGAAGTAC